GTACACACTATAAAACTGATACAAAAACCGGTATATTAAAAGGAAAAGTAAATTCACTGTCAAATCACAATAATCATCACTGCAGTCTGTATTGGAACTCACACAACACCCGGTATACGGAACGAAAAAGTATATTCACTAATTGAATTATAATAATTTTTACTGCGTCCACATCCACCGAAAGCCGTTCGCAAACTGATTCATATTTCTTTATCATCCCTATTAAATTTCTTGGTGAGTAATGCCATACGTTATTCATTACACAATCTATCAGTAGTGTGAGGAAGCAAATAAGAATACAGGGTCGTTTTTTCATTTTCATTTAAAAACGGCGCCTTTATTTAGATTTTAGATCATAGATACTGAACAGCGAGCTAAACAGGGTGTATATACGGTGTGACAACAAAATCATTGGCCAGGACGTCATTCAGTTGTTTTTATGTTATAGAATTTTGACATTTGAATCGAAGATATATCATTCCTCAAAACCAAAATTTTCCTTGAAAAACAATTGAAAATCACTTCCGGACATATATCCACAGAACTCATCGCAAATGGACATTTGTATCTAAAATGGCGGCGCAAGAGTTATTTTCTCTAAAATCAATAGGGCTACTCTGTGACGTCATTGATCGAAATTTCGTCAAGCTACCTAATAAAATAGCGAATAAACGAAGCATTTCGATTAGTTTTTGATGAAACCACTGGCGTTTGAGTAAGATAAGATAACAATCACCTTGTACGTCACTGCGTTATATTTAACACAGAACTCGAATACCCACAGCATAATTGTGATATAATACAGGGCCTATAGGCTCTGTATAATACCGTACGTGTTGCATCGGTTTTCATACCTCCGAAAATAGACCAATGTGGATCTGTCGGAATTCTTTCCTCATCGAACATCAACTTTTCGATGCTGTCCTAAACTAACATGTCTATTAATAGTCCAGGAAATATCGATATTCATATTGGATTGAAAAAATCGCAGGGCGCCATTTTTCAAATATATTATGACGATGTTTTGTTTATGACGGCATAATATTCCCGGAACTATCCAAACCACACAAAATATGGCTAAACCACCAGAGTATGAATAGCAAAATAACGACACCAAATAAAAAATCTTCACTGAAAATGGTTTCTCCTTGTTTTGGAGACGTTATGGCACCTGGCAACTCCGAATTCGAGTTTTCATCTATAGTAATACAATACAAGTAGTACAATAATACGTTCCCCCGTAGGTAGGTGAGATAGGTATACCTACCTATAAGGTGTACCTATTATAGAGAGTGCATAATATAGAGGTATCGTAATATTATGAACGAACAAATTATAAACATTTATTCATTACCTACCTATATACGTTGGTAGACATTTAGCTATTTATTGATGTTATGATATATGTATGAGGTTTTGTACCTATTGTAGGTATACCTATACGATACCTACCTATAAGCTTATGTTCTAACAGATACCTATTTGAGTAATCCTGGCCTGGATCTGTTAGGCAATTCTGTGTGGGGTTGTACTGGTTGTAAATTTTCTTGGCTGTGATGGGACGAGTTTAGAATCAATATTTTCTAGACGGTGCGACAACGTGTGCGCGTACTAGTGTGAATTTATGTTTAGTACAGTCATTGTCCACCAATAGGTACAGTAGCGTAGACAGTAAAGTATATTTACCATTTTTCCTATAATAATTATGGGTGAGTAACAATAGGTAGGTCGCTACTCAACTAGAATAAAAGAAACTTGGAAATATTAGAATTATAGAAAGATCAAGAAAAAAATATTTCACTTCAAATGTACAGGGTGATTCATAAGGAATGGTAAATCTCTGAACTACAGATAGTTAACACAAATATAATGATATTTAGCCCAATATGCCTGATGAGAATGTTGCTGGTGTAGGAGATACAGGGTGCATGTTCTAGGGGGTTTTTATAAAAATGTCATAATGACTTTGTTAGTTATTAAACAGCATGAACATGAAATCTTGTATTTCTAGGTTTTCTGGCATGAAGATTATGAATTTGCAACTCATTTTGTGATTGCTCATAGAGGGCGCTAGTGTGTAACTTCGATAATTTACATACATCATATCTTCGATGTCAATTCATTGATGATCAAAATAAGTGAAAAATCTGAAAGCTCGTTCAATTTCACATGAAAAATGTACTCTTTGTCGAATTGTCTAACCTGAACGGTTTTTGTGTTATTCGCTCTTGAAGAGATTTATATATGTTCCAATTATAAAATTTTAACAAGTTCATTAATTAAATTGAGGATTTTAAATCCCTGAACTACAGATAATAAACACCCAAATATAAAGATTTAGCCCAACATGCCTCATAAAAATATTGCTGGTGTAAGAGATACAGCTATAGGGTGGTTAAGGAGAAGATATTTCGAATAAAATTTTATCCTTAACCATCCTGTTATCTCTCAAATCAGTAATATTTTTAAAAGGCATGTTGGGCTAAATCTTAATATCTGGGTGTTTACTATCTGTAGTTCAGAGATTTCCCATTCTTCATTTGATGAATTAAATTATTAAAATGTCATAAGTGGAAAATGAATCTCTTCAACAGCGAATAACACAAAAACCGTTGAAGCTAGACAGTTTGATAAGGAGTACATTTTTCATGTGAAATTGAACGAGCTTTTAGATTTTCCACTTATTTTGATCATCAATGAATTGACATAGAAGAAATGATGTAAATGATCGAAGTAACAGAGTGCCACACTATATAGCGCCCTTTATGGGCAATCACAAAATAAGTTGCAAATTCATATCCCTTATGTCAGAAAACCTTGAAATACAAGATATCATGTTCATGCTGTTGAAACTAACAAAGTTATTGAGAAATTTTTGAATAAAATCTGCCCCTAGAACACCCTGTATCTCCTAAACCAGCAACATTCCCATCAGGCATAATGGGCTAAATCTATTTGTAGTTCAGAGGTTTCCCATTCTTAAAGAATCACCCTGTATATATATCATTATGAATATCAGTAAGGTATAATAAGAGAAAAAAAAACAATAGCTATATACAGGGTGGCCCTGAAAGGTCTGTACAAAATGAGACCATAGACTCCTGAGAACCAAAGTGAGATGATTGAACGAAACTTACCTATTTACCTCTACTCCCATACATATTGAAATACATGACAAGAAAAAGTTTCAATTTTCTTATTATTCAAAATTTTTGGGATTTTCTCTCCTCGTTTCTATAAAATAAAAATATGAATATTATTTCAATATACGTGTAGTAAGGACAAATCAGATGATTTGCCCCAAAATGTCACTGCGTTTATAGTTATTTTTGTATCTAGAGCGCGAAATGCTACTTTGGTGATCGAGATCTGATTTTTTTAACGAGGCGTTGCCGAGTTAAAAAAATAGTCGAGATGACCAAAGTATTTCGCGCTCGAGTTGCAAACAAAATTTTTTCTACAAACGTCAAAAAATGTAGTTCTGAAGTAAAGATATGCTTAGCTTGATATAAAAAATAGTGTTGAACTGGCTTAAAAGGCCTTCCCCTATCCTTCCTAGGTACACACGATGTTCCACGAACATAATAGGAATTTCCTTTCGTGCGATCCAAGAGGTAAAACAAAGTTATTTTTGAACATTCAGAAATAAATGAATTCGTTGATGTTTGCTCGATTGAGGACCATGAAGTTGAAATATAAATATTTCATATATTTTACATAACAATGCGCGAAGTAGGTACTTCGCGCATTGTTTTGTGCAAGGTATCATGGTAACGTAGGAAACTGAAAAAAAGTGTAAATTCGCAATTTGTTATCAATGCGCGAACCTTGTCATTTTATGACGTTTGTAGAAAAAAGAATTTTCCTATCAGAGAGCCTAAAAGAAAAATTCACTAGCTTGTCATCAGTGACAATTTGTATTGAAAAATTTTTGGAGAAGAGAAATAAAGGTATATAGTGAATTTTTCTTTTAGGCTCTCTGATAGGAAAATTCTTTAAACTCAGTGACATTTTGGGGCAAATCATCTGATTTGTCCTTACTACACGTATATTGAAATAATATTCATATTTTTATTTTATAGAAACGAGGAGAGAAAATCCCAAAAATTTGGAATAATGATTGTACCACCTCCTCGATTAACCTACAGACAGTATTTCAATTTTCTGTTTCCTATTTAGTTTTTATGAAGATGCTATTTTTTTCAATGGATTAAGAATTATTATTGAAACTGCAAAATTTGACGCGATGAAATATTTCATTTGATACTGTTCCTACAAGTTACAAGGGGAAAACAAAAAGTGATTTTTCATAAAATCTCAATTATATGAGTAAATTGTAGATCGAAAGTATGATTGTGATATATCGTTGGAAAGCTAATTTCATACTGAATGAATCATAAATTCCGAAAAAAAAAATTATACTTTGTATTTCAAATAAAAATTGGATGCACTTCCGTTCACACCGGAAGTGTCATGTTATATCTGATACTATCAGAATTATACACTATCCCGTCAACCAGTTTTATATTGGTACTTACCCACATACATAATTATTGAAATTATGTTTTTTTTCTAATCTCAGTTATTAGTTGGTTTTAGTTCAACAGGGAGAAATGAAAGAAAACTGAAGGAATGATCCACCCATTAATAAAAATCAAGAACACTATGGTGAAATATTTATATAATTATTGAATTAGGCTGGTTTTTGACAAAGAGAATGACAGGCACAGGTGAGAAATTATTTGATTACAATAATTTAAGTTTCAGAAGCATATATAGAAGAAATCGAAAACATTCAATTTCGAGCAATTAGATTATCTGTAGTTGTGCAGACCAAAAATATCTTAATTGTAATATGATGGTCGATAATTCCATTATATATGCATGATTTATATATATTTATTCAATTGCTGAAACACTTAACCTCTGAACTCTCTAAAATGATTTATACTTATCTCTTAAAAGAACACATTGATCAGTGCTTATAAAATTATGTTGCAATGAAGATCGCTCTAGTCATTTTGTCTTTATTTTCTCTTATACGCTTGGACGATGCTTCAGAAACACCAATTATTGGAATCCTTTCCCAGGAGATGTATTTGGTGGCCAAATATTTTCCTGAGGGTGTCTACGACAGCTTCATCACAGCTTCCTATGTCAAGTATCTAGAAAGTGCTGGTGCTCGAGTAATTCCTGTATGGTAAGTTTTCATCTCCATTTGAATTCTAAATTATTCATCATCTATGTCTAAATGCAATTCCATATCATTTTTCTTCAGGATCGGACAATCTGAAGAGTATTATCAACGTGTTGTTAATAGCACAAATGGGTAAGTAGTTCACACCTACCATTATGGTAAAACTGCATTTAGCATGCGATGGGTTTTTTTTCGAAAATTTTTTTTGGTTCTTACGTATTTTTGTCTGAAAAACACGAATTTGATAATGAAAATGTGAACAAACCATTATTTATCATGATATTTCACTATAAAGTTTCAAATTTCACCTTCTTTTCCGCCTGTCTTCTGGATTGAATTTTAAACAATTCACCCTTCTTTTTTCATCATTGGACAATTTATATATATCACAATGTAAGACACATTTTTTTCTATTATTGAGTCAACTAGAAATATGATTTTCTTGTGATTTATCCATATTTATTGAAAAGAAGGAAGAATATCATTTGAAATAATGGCGTGTGTAATGTCATTCCAAAGCAATCTATTGACATTTGACATCTCGTATTTGGATTGCCTATGGATAAAATGGCCGTCATCTGGTATGCTTGCTCACTAAATAGGAAAAACTCACCATAAAAATCATATTTCCTGTTGAATTTTCTGTATAAAAATGTGTCATTGAAGTACATCATGAGTATATAAAGTGTCCAATGACAAAATAAGAAGAGCAAGTACCTGAAAATGCATCCAACGCAAGGGGAAAAAGGAGTCGAAATTTCGAACTTTTTTTTGAAATATCTCGATAAATAGTAGTTTGTTCACATTTTCATTATCAAATTCGTGTTTTTCAGACAAAAATACGTAAGTACCAAAAAAAATTTTCGAAAAAAAATCCATCGCATGCTAAATGCAGTTTTACCAAAATTATTTATATGTATGTCACAAAATGAGTAGTTTATTGAGTATTCGAATATCTTCAACATACAGGGCCAGATTGAGACCACTTGACACTTGGGACAAAACATATTTTTCCGCCCCCTACACATAAATCAAAAAATGAAAAATATTCTTTTCGAATTGTCTTATCATTTCATTATTGACACTTCTCAGTGACAGATGTTGATTCAAACAAATGAGTTACAGGATGTTTTGATTAATTCATCTTGATTTTAAAATTTTCTTCAAATTCGAGAAGAATATATTTTTTTTTTTTGTTTAAAACGGGAAATTTTTCTTTTCCGAAACGTTCAAAGCTTAGTAGAAGTTTGATGTTTTTTCGATCCATCCATATTTCTCTTCTTCATACATTTTTCCAAACATGGTGTCACTGAAAATCTTTTAGGCTCTCTAACAGTGAAATTTTCAAATGCAGTGACTTTTTGAGGCAAATCATCTGATTTTTCCTCACTTTACGTATATTGAGATGATACTCATATTTTTATTCTATAGGAACGAGGAGAGAAAGAAAATACCAAAAACTCTGGTAAAATGGATAGAAGTGAAAATCACAATCAGTCAATCAAACAGAGATATCATTTCTGGAAACTCGAAACTGGTACAATTGAAAAATATATAACGGACGATGAATATTATTGAGCTTCCTTTCTGGCTTTGAGCCTTATAAATGTCTCAATAATGCATTGCAATTAAACACGTCGTACAAGGTTTGTATGGGATAAACCTGCCTATGATGTTCCAGACTTCATTAAAAAGTAGTACACGCGTTACTGACAAAAATATTTCAAATTTTGACACTACTTGTCAATAAGAAGATTAATCAATTGTTTTTGGATGTATGACACATCGATACTCATCATACAGGACGTCATGGAAACCTAATCACGAATCTGCGATTAAAAGTCTATAAAATTAACAAGTTTCCATCGTTCAAGTTTGAACCCCTTGATTTGGTGAAAGTATTGAAAAGGGATAAAATTATGAACATAAAAAAATGATATATATATTGTATATGCGATGAAAATATCAATTCTTTCTGGGTTTATTCAACAGAAAACAACTACTTCCCTGGCTATTTGCCACGTCGAACATTGAATTATATCTATATATATATATATTGAACATCCAAAAGGAGAGCATGAAAAATGAAAATCCTCTGAAATTGAGAGTTTTTTTGGTTTTTACAGATTCATTTCATTATTCTACTATTTTAACCATTTAACCTATAGACTTGGTGAACCATGACTTACTTTAAAAAAAAAACACGTTTTAAATACCTAATTTATGTTAAACTTAATCAATCAGGTCTCTATATTCTGCATTAGTATTCCATTTTATCGAATTCCTGAAATACTTTTATTCACATATATGGTTAACTTGAATAAAATCAGAAAATATATTCTTCTCATTTATGACAGACATGAGCGCATCTAGGAAATGAAAATTCGGTTACAACTCATCTATAAAAGTCCCAATGAAACATGCAACGTCGTGGGCTAGGTCGTAGGAGAATTTTCTAGTACATTGATGCATCTCCTGAAGTGGCATTACAGATATTAATAGAAAACTATTAATTTTTGAGTACTTTACCACCCTGTATCTCTTCTTAAAATGGGCCCAAGAATCGCCTCCTCGAATATTGACATTCAATTATGAAACACCCTGTATATACAAACATCTGTTGTTCGAAGATTTATATGTTTGAACCCTCGGAAGACTTCATCACATAAAATCCTGATCACGAATCGAAACTATACTTTGAAGGACATTTTGAGTATTTCTCAAGACTTGATTTCTTCGTCCATTTCAGATTACTGTTTCCCGGTGGCGGTACTTATTTCAATGAAACTGGAGGGTATGGAGAAACAGCAAAAACGATCTACAAACTGGCTGTCCAGTCTAACGAAAGAGAAGTCTATTACCCTCTTTGGGGTACGTGTTTGGGTATGCACGTTTTGATATTCTCTCAAAAAGGTGCTGATCTCAGGATAGACTGTTCGTTGAGGAAAGTCGCATTGCCTCTGGATTTCTCTGAAGGTTGGTATGATTCCTTGATCATGGTCATTATTATGAAACGGACATGCATGCCTGAACTATGGGCCATCGAGGTGAATTCAAATTACTTATTTTTTCAAATTTATTGGACAATCTTGCGCTTGATCTCTTTCTTTATAAGATACTCATGAATCTCCATCAGTGGCGTAATTAAGATTCTTTCCTGGGGGGGTCTAGGCCCAATATCCAATATTTGGGGGAAAAAAGCAATTACGACATAACTTACGTTTTAGTTTTAATAGTTGGTACCATTAACAAAATAAAAAAAGTATTAAATAATCAAATAATATCACATATCAATAGGTAGAAACAATGAAATCGGAACAAAAAAAAAACAAAATAACGAAAATTGAAAATTCGACTAATTCAGTTACTGAAAAGAAGAAGAAATATTCAAACTGTTGCATTTTTTTCGTTAGAATCGATCAATCAAGAAAAAATTATTTATTCACTATACAGGGTGAATTAAAATTCGATGTAGATATCTTAAGTACGTATTGGTGGTTGGGATCAAGATGAAACTTCTTCTTCATGTAATGATGTGGCCTAAAATGCTCCCCTTCGAGCTACAGTCACTGTAAGTTGAGTAAAATACAGAACATTTTTTGAAAATGTGTATTGTAGTACCGCACGCCTAAGAAATAGCCGTCTCAAATGCGTTTCGACATGCGATCACCTCCGTATGCAAGCGTTTAACCCATTGCGGTCGAAAGTCATGTCGTGACCCCTTTCGTTTACGATTCTCTGGAAAACGGTTCAGAAGATCTGATCCGTTATTTTAGTCACAATTTTAGATAATCTTATTTTCTACCTATAACTTTACAGTGGCTGTAGCTAGGAGGAGGTGCATTTTAAGGCATATGTTTTTATGAAGATGAAGTCTAATATTGACCCCAACAATATGTCCTTCAGATATTTACATCGAATTTTGAATTACCTTGTATATGGATGTTTCAATGAAAAACTGAAATATTGTACACATATAGTTATCGTACGTTTCCGATGACAATAACTAAAACCTTCGATATTCGGAGGTTCTACCAAATTACAAATCAAATTCTCGTGATATATCCTATACTCATGTCTATTTTTCCATTATTCCAATTCTTTACCAAATTGTTTCGGTTTTTCAAACAGCTCTGGGGGGGGGGGGGTCCATGAGGTCCGGACCCCCCAGAGCTGTCTTAAAAACCGAAACAATGTCAGTTACGCCACTGATCTCTATATTTTTAATAGATGTATTATTCAAGTGGCGATTTATTTTACCAGTCATGATTATGAATGTGTTGTGTACAACATTAAAGCCGTTTCTTGAGCATATTTCACATAACGGCAGTGGCAGTGAACATAACCTCCTTCCTCGTATCAGTGCGATTTGACAAATAGCGGTTGACTAATTTATTATGAATGCGAGGACTCAACCAGAATTACTATGAACTAATGCACTTAGGAAGTAGAAGGTTGTGTTTCAAATAAGGACTAAATATTCAGGTATTCGATGTCCAAAAATCTCCATCAATAAGAAATATTGAGAAATATTATCACGTGAATGAATAACTCATGGTAATAATCAAGTTATTCATCCAAATATGCAAATGTCCTTAATGTCCATATACATCGCATAGTCAGCCTCCTGCCTACATAATCACGAACCCTGTGATCATGAAAACGTAGCTTTTTGAAGTCCCCTGTAGTAAACCAGCAAAGAAAAAGGGGTCTTTGGAAAACTGCCTTTATGTAAATCGGGCCTTATTTTCTCCTTTGTCTTAACCATAATTTTATGCTCATATGTTTAAAATTAAAATATGTGTGCGAATATACCAAGTATTTACTTTACTTTATATTGAGACAATGTATGACATGATGCCATTCGGTTGGATGAGAGTTTTCAAAACTTCCGGGATCCACACAGACTTCAGATTTACCTCTTGGTTTCAGGTTATGAAGACAGCAAACTGTTTCGCGAATCCACAAAAGACATTACCAGAAATCTTGGTACAAACAACGTTACCTACAACCTCCATCGCTACTGCTTGACCAAAGAAGTATTACAAAGCAACGGCATCCTGCAAAACTGGAAAATCCTGGCCACTAACAAAGACGAGTCTAACCTGGAATTTATTTCCGTCATGGAGAATCGAAAGTACCCCTTCTACGGTGTCCAGTTCCATCCCGAGAAGAACATTTTCGAATTCAAGAAAAGCATTGGCATTCCGCATTCAGTAGGTGCTGTCCAAGCTTCCCAGTATTTCTCTAATTTTTTCGTCAATGAGTGCAGGAAGAACAATAATAGTTTTTCTGATGATGACATCGAAATGAAATCTTTGTTTTATAATTATAGCCCTGTATACACGGCCCCCAAAGGGTCTTCCTATGAACAGATTTATGTATTTACCAAAGAAGATTACCGAAAATCGCCTCTCGTCTGAGGGCCACTTTGTAAAAAACTCTAAAGGGTGACTTTATGGAATCTTTTATCATTTAAGATTTAACATTTAAACATTCAAGACTTAAGAGTCTCAAGTGCCCAGCCAGCACAAAAACATCTCAGAGATGTTAAAAGTACGAGATTTCGAGACATTGAACCTCCACTGCGATGTTCTGTTCACGCATGAATAGAACTATTATAGAACAGCCAATGTCCGCCGCAGGCGGCAATCATCGAGATATCCTTGATATGTCACAAAACTACCTTCTCCCTAGTTCTTTTTGAAGCCTTTTGATGGACACAACAAAACATTTTCAACGCGTCTTGCGCACAAATCGCTGTAAAAAAAACATTTTCGGGGTACTTTTCTGAAGCCTTTTGTCAAAATGAACTTTTGCATTAGGATTCCATTTCCCTTGAATGAAAAAATGCATTAAAAATAGATTGAACATAAAAATATTTTCTTGATATGAAACTACCTTCTTAATCAGTTTCTGAGTAGTGCTTACTACACACAGACATATAATTGGAAATAGGTTTCCCAATTTTTGAAATGTTCTCCACAATGCATAATTTTGCAACTGCGGAGAAGCTGTGTATTGATAAATTCGTACTTTTATATATTGATTACACTGAGGCACCGAACAACACATCTTGCATCTGATCTGATGGTCATTATTACAAACTAAATAAGTCTTCTAACACAATAAACTTCACCAAATTCCTTTCTGTTCGTTAGCAGCGTGATGTAAGCGTGACACGCTGCAAACGCGAATGCCAATTGCGAACAAGAAGAACAAAATCGAAAACAAATCAGAATTCATCGTATTGTGACGTAAGCATGAGACGTTGTGGTGGGGCAAACAAAGAAAGGGCACAAAAGAACAAAAACAATACTTTAAATATCCTTCTAAGACCTCTTTGGGAAGTGCATATTACGCCTCAAAAAAACATCCTCATGCCTACATTTCTGAAACATCCCAAAACATCCCAGGGATACCTCTCAGTAGGCAAACAAAGAAATACCACAGAAGAATAAAAACAATACTTCAATATCCTTCAAAGACCTCTTTGGTCAGTGCATATCACGTCTCAAAATAACATCTTCATGTCAACATTTTCAAAACATCCCAAAACATCCCAGGGATGTTTGTGCTCGCTGATGGGTGGAGAGAGTTATAAAAAAAATAAGATTCTAGGGCGATACATGTCTTCTGTCATTACTGACATCTAGTTTCTGATACAGAACTCGATTTTCAAAGTTGGAAATCAATATTCATGGTCTGATATCATTCATTGATTTATATTTATATCCCTAAAATGATACCTACATCCATTATTATATCTCCACATCACTTTGAAAGTAATCACTATTCCTTGCCTACCAGAAACTGGCTCACTCCTTGGATCATTTGCCAAATATGGAGGCAACAGAGTTGCGACATTCTAGTGTATTTTTGAAGAACGGTTCAGTATCCATTAGAAGAAAAACAAATATTCAGGAATAACAACACAAGTTATTTCGAATTGTTTTTGAATGATCATTTATCAGCACTTCTCAAGTTGGAAGTTGGTCATCTTTTTAAATCTTAAATGTCAAATCATAAGTCTTAAATGGTTTTATAACATAACCAATGATATTCCCATGTTCCATCTGTCATAAGTGATAAGCCTTATTAAATATTAGGTGATAAATCTTGAGTCTTAAGACTTGAGATTTATCACCTGATTTTTAAGGGTTATCACTTATTTATGACAGATGGAAAATGGAAATTTCATTGGTTATGTAATAAAACCATTGAGGACTTAAGATTTAAAAGGTGGCCAACTTCCAACCTAAGAGTGCTGGTAAATGATCATGAATGGAATAAGGAGTGCTCATCCAAAAGTGACATTCAAAAATTATTCAAAATATCTTGGGTTGTTATTCCTGGATATTAGTTTTTCTTCTGATAGAAAATATGGATACTGAACCGTTCTTCAAGAATACAATCTAGAATGCCACCTTAACTCTGTTGCCTTCATATTTGGCAAAAGATCTAAGAAGTGAGCCAGTAACTGTTGGGCAAGGAATATAGTGGTTACTTTCTTTCAAAATAATGTGGAGATATAATGGATATGTGCGGTATCATTTATTTAGGGATATAAATTAATAGAATAATATCAGAACATGAAATTTCGATTTCAAACCAGTTTCTACAAGTTACTAAACTTTGAAAATCTGGTTCTGTATCAGAAATTAGATGTCAGTAATGACAGAAGACATGTATCGTCCTAGAAAATTATTTTTTTTTATAAAACTGAATCCACAGTCTTAAATGTTCAAATTTTAAATCTTGGATGCTGAAAGTTTTTATAAAGTCACCCTGAAGCTGTGGTAAATATCTTCAAGATGTTGAACTGAAGGAAAAGGACTGAATCTAATTATTTTTGTATACCTATATATGAAATTAATGCCCATGACATTGAATATTCATGTTTGTATGTAGTAAAGTATGATATTATTATGCATGACGATATATTTTTATTGCAAAATATACAAAACATCAGTTGTTTGATTTCTAACTTCTTTATATTGACGCAATTGCTTTAATCAGACAATGATAAACTATTCGAACCATTGTGATGGAGACTAGCAGTTGCTATATACAGGGTGTATATAAAAGACGCGGCAATTTTTAAGGAGGTGTTTCCTCAGATGATCATTTTATGAAAAATTTTTTCCATAAATGCAGGTCCGGAAATGTATTGTTTCCAAGATACAATATGTTAAATATACCCAGAGTCTCCGAACATCATACTCGAAGGATGCACAGTTGCCAAATACTATATGCTATATACCTATAATTTTCCGAAAAACATATACTTCTAGGAAAAACCTTCATTTAGGCCGAGTTAGGTAAGATCGTTTGAAGAAAGTCTCCTTTCTTATTCAGAAACAATATTGTATTGTATACCTTCTCTCCCTATCATCTCTGGAGATTCCCTTTCGTGCGCTTCAACAGATAAAAAAAATCAAATTACTGTTGATGGTTTTTTGAAATTCTCCACTCGATGACGTTCCAAATCGCGATATTTTCCAAGATTAGATATATTTTTCTGACTACGCAAATTTGAGAAAAAATTACATGAACACCATCAAAGATTTGTAAATGTTAAAGGTTCCGTTTTGTCAGTGGAAAAGTTAGGGCAAACTATTTCGCTATAATAATGACAAAATCATAGCGGCTTAAAGGGTTTTAGATAAATCAATTAAATTGTAAAAATGAAAATCTAACTTTCACACTGCAGTTTTGGCTGTTTTCAGTTTTTAGGACGAAATAGATTAGATAATAGATATATACTAGTTCGCGTTGAATGAAATGAGATACATTTTGGAAATCTTAATTTTGATTGAAGAACTGAATTTTCTTCGATCGTCTTTTGGGGGTAATCATGGACGTATAATACGTCCATGGGGGTAATCTATCAATCAACGACTATGGAGACACATGCTCCAGCGCACATAAACTTTCCGTTGATTGATATATTACGCTTAGCGTAAGCGTAATATATCCTTAGATCAACGCTCTTACCTCTCTAGCTACTGTACTCTAGCGCCATCTATATATTGGCGCTCACAACGTAATTGGCTGTTTACTGAAGGTTTCTACTGAAAACCGCAGCAGACTTCTTTACTCAGTTAAACAGTAGTTTCATCGTTTGAGGTAGCAAAAAAGAGGGGTCACTCAAAGATAATTTCTCTGAGGAAATCACCTGTAATTTTCTCTACAGTGACTATTATCTCGGGGTTGGTAGAATCAGAGATTTGTAGAGGACATTTTCTCCATTTTCAAAAATACAGTTCTGCTGTTTCTATGAACATTGAACATCTAGGTGAACAATTTTCGAGAAGATAATATCTTCGTTGTCTCCTTTTGAACTAACAACTAACTTAGGTTACAGCTTGTTACAGTCAGTTATTCTTGGTTATAAATATGGTTACGTATATGGAGAAGATTATTTCAATAGACGTTTCTAACTTTCTTAGAGTAGAATATTTATGTGAATATCTGGGAAAATATATAGAGTACAGGGTGCCATTTGAATGAGAAAAACAATGGTTTTGGTATCACTTATACCTATACCTATGGTAGATGATAGGTAGTGACTTTATAAATAAAACACAAAACACTTAGAACTAACTTACTAGCTGTTAATAAAATATAAAAAAATCCTCACTTTCTTTCTGTTATCTCTTCTTAGAAAGACGTGAATGAAAAACCATTGTGAAGTTAAGGGTGGAAGCAGGTGCGTAGGTATGTTTTTTTTCTAGGGGGGGGGGTACTCAGTAGCGGAAATTAAATTATAATTTAGGGGTTGCCTAGTAGTACAACGCGTTTCAGTGTATAATAAATCAACACAAAATGGTGGTTTATATCAGCTTCAACTTTTATTAAAGCTGTTTTTATTTCTTTTAGAATATTCAAAATTATCAGAATAACAATTATCAGTCATTCAAATGATCAAAGCAAGATAAATATTCTCGATGAAAACATATTTTATGTGCCTATTATATGAACTAGATAAAAAAAGAAATAATCTCTCAATTTGACCATTAGATAATATAAAGTAGGTAACTTACCATTCAAAACTCTTGATTGAATCTAATTAACAAAATATCAGGTACCCCCGTGACTGGATTATAAAACAAAGTCTTTTATATATTGCTTTGAAAACCTCGAGAAAAACCTATCGATAACAGCATCTATATCTTATTTCAATATATCTATGAATATTTAATATAAAGTTAATCCGACTAGCCTGGCCCATTGTACACCTCAACCATGATTTCAGTATCTTACTTAAGTGTATAGAAAATGATCTTTCAGCACTCGCCACACTCACCGGCATAACAGATTTTATCTGCAGGAGTGTGTATAGACTAGCGTCTGCGGACAGCCGCAAGTAATAACTCCGTGGTAGGGGAACGTTAGTTAACTTGTGTCGAGTCTAATATAAGGAAGGATTTTTTTTTAAACAATCAATCGACCTAGATGAACCTTTTTTCTTGAAGAAGGAGAATTTTTCTTGAGGAAGGAAAATATTGTTTCTGCATAAAAAATGAGAAAACCTAACCTATCTATTTTATGAGTATATCTTTACTTGTTTCGTTGACCTGTGTAAAACTTGATGTTTATTAACACCAAATAAAATATTCTAGAAGGAGAATTTTTCTTGAGGAAGGAAAATATTGTTCCTGCATAAAAAATGAGAAAACCTAACCTATCTATTTTATGAGTATATCTGTATTTGTTTCGTTGACCTGTGTAAAACTTAATGTTTATTAACACCAAATAAAATATTCTATTCTATTCTAACCTAACCTAACCCAACCTCACCTCTGGCCTAAACATAGAAAACCCCTAAATGAACCTATTTCCCATAGAGAATATTTTTTAGAAATCACTTGAGAACAAGAAAAAAATTAAAAAAGATGAGCCTCGCACGGATTCGAACCCCGGCCCGCCGGCTTGGCATGCCGATGCTCTGCTTACTGAGCCAACCAGGTGCTTACGAGACGAAGTATGATGAAGTCATTCAGTCGACGCCGCATAACGCCAGTCGCATCTACTGCCCACTATAACGTCCTCCCACCACGGAGTTATTACTTGCGGCTGTCCGCAGACGCTAATGTATAAATATAGTGGGAAATATATATATACAATGCTGTAAAGTATCTAAGGCTGTTTCTTTGGGTAAATTATTATAGGTCTATTTTTGGTTTCTTCCTATTCATTTTTCCAAAGATCTATTTCTGATTGCAACAAATCTGACTGAAATGTTTGGGAGAGAATTCATTTCTAAATTTACTAACATAATCAGAAACTTGTTTTACTAGAATCTTTGAATCACTGGTATAGAACATAATCAGGCATCAACTTGTTGATATATAACATTTTGAATTCAATATTAATTATTATTGTTTCTTACTTACTTACTCCAGTACCCCCCCCCCCTTATCTACGGTGGTTTTTTATAGATCAAAAGGGCAAGTTTGAATGTGAATCATTTGTGAATGTGTTTGTCAAGGTGATCAAATATCTTATTTTCAAGAAAACACTCTCTGCAAGATTCTCGATAGTTCAATTTGAACAAAGTACGGATGGCACGTTTTCGAATAATGAACGTGGTTTGGGAACCAACGGAACTACCGCAGAATTCTATTCCGTATTGCATCGATCAATAAGCTTTGAAAATATGGGACATATACCATTGTCGAGACTTGAAAGTTTGTGTTCGCTTGGACAGTTCGCAATTCAAAAGTTGCTTTTATTGAGTTTGGTATTCAGCTGCTTTATGTGTTCCATCCATTCCATCCAAGTCAAGGATCCAAGTTAGTTTCATGTCGATAGTTATCCCTACTAAGAATTTAGTGGATTCGTCAAGTCTTAGATATATTCAATAATAACTTATTTGCTGAAAACCAGGCTGCTATAGCGTCCATCGCACTTTGTGATTTTACTGATAATACCTAGATAATACCTACCCATTATCATCTATACAATAACGTGTTTGAAACCGTGCATCGTGCATATATAGCCATACAGTTGGTGTCGAATGGGATATATATCAGGTGACAGACCATCCATTCTCCTAATGTTCTAAAACGTGAAACATGTGGTTGTATAATATCCTCCGATAAATGAAGATTTTTGTATTCCTAAGGAATATGATATATTGGGGAGATTGGATATCTCAACACAAACGGTATAGTTGGTATAGTTGAGAGTTGAGAGTATTACATTTTCCTAGTCATCATATATTTTTCCTCCTGGATCGCACGAAAGGGAATCCCAATATTTATTTCTGCGTTTCTCTGGGATGGATGAGGAGAAAAAGCAAGCATTGACATATTTTTTGATTTTAAGGATATGAATACTTTCCTATGTAAAGAAAATTCCAAAGAATTGCAGATTCATGGGCTGTTAAGTTCACCTAGCTGATGGTATTGCTATGGGAAGCTACTGAATTGTGTTGAATAATTGAAAATGTTAGCTGAAGATGTACCTATAGTTCAATATATAGTTCAAAAGTATCTTATATACAGGATTATATCGAATTATAATAGTAGGTACATGTACAAAAACGAAATCCATAGCGCCTTGAAAGTTACCATAGTCGTTCATAAGCGTTACTAATTTCATCTTCGGATAAAATCAATGGAATAACAAAGTCCAAGAATGACCCAGGGAAAGTTAAAAATAGCAATTCATCCTCAAACCCATGATAACTACACTATACAGGGTGTCCCATCACTCGATGCCCTTAGCTCAAGGGCATATTCCTTGAACAATTTCAAATTAAAAGTACCTCATGACTTTTGTCCAAAACTCTATAGTCGAGGAGTAATGAGAAATATCAAAGTTAACAGCTAGAGTGTGTATAGTGAAGTGAAGAGAATGTTGAATGAATTTTAATTTTATATTTCATCAATTAAGAATGTTGTTGACACTAACACAAAATTTCTGTTCAAAATATCCCCCTGCTGCTTCACAACACATTCTAGCTTCTCTAATCATTGAAGACGTTGCTCTCTGAAGAGTATCTGGATCATCTCGTATGGATACAGTTGCAGTATTTTGAATTTTTTCAGTCAGCTCATTTCTGGTTAGTGGTTTATTTGAATACACTAGACTTTGACATGTCCCCAAAGACAATAATAGTCGCGACACGTCTCTAATCCACCGGCGAGAAAAGTTGTTATTTTGATTGCTTATAATTCCATAACTATTGAGTTTTAGGCAAGAGTGTATATATAGGGCCTTGAAATTGTATTCAAGTGAGCTAGGGACATCGAGTCATCGGACTCCCTGTATATTGACCTATAGGCTCTAAATACTTCAAACCGACGTTAAAGACACCCCTATATACTCTACCCTATAACATGCCACCCTCTATATCTATTCATGACATGGATGTTGATGTTCTGTTTGTCACAAAAAAGAATAGCAAATAAATAGCAAACTATACACATGTCGCTGGTTGTATTCCAAAACGGATTATGTCGAATACTATAAATGAAACAGGTATATGAAATGCTCAGAATACAGTGCACAGTGCTAAAATCGTTTCTATCTATCCATAAGGTCAAAGGAAGCTAGATCAGCTTTTCGTGAAAGCAATCCAACAATGCCAAGCTGACAAATTAGTCGAAGCTATATCGAAAGGAGTGGACCCCAACATAGAAGTGTACCATGGTCAAGCTGCTCTTCATGTGGTATCAGAAGGAGACAACATGTCGCTTTTCAATATCCTGATTAAACATCCCAATATAAACATAGAGATTAGGAATTTCGAAGGATTCACCCCGCTGATGGTGGCCACTATAAATTCCAGGAGAGACATGGTTAGAGGAACAGCTGGATGTTTTTTCTAGTTGAATGGATGATATATGCGGTCTCAAGGTTTCTAAATCTACGCCCAATCATTGATTTCCTAGAATTCTCACAAAATGATGTTTTTTTATGTTCTGGTTCCCACGAAAAGGAATATATATCCTGTAATGTTCAGAGAACATCGTGAGAATCAAGGGAAATAAAGTAGGAATTGGTGTTCTTCTTGAATTTCTGCAGTTTATATGCCTCGGGGAACATCTCCCTTGGCAAAATGTGTTCCAGAGCCTCGCTGTTCGTTGGATGAACGAACCTTTGAAAAGAGATGTTCTGCAGGTCTCCAAAGTGACCACGAAGGGGTGCGAAGCCTCAACTCGACGGGTTAATTTCGCGGGGATTGCCAAGGGAGGTACAATTGTTGATATTTCAGAAGAGCATCATCCATGAAAATATCTATAAAATAGAGCCAGATCGCCAACTTTCCTACGGTGTTCCAGAGAAGCGAGTGAGTTTGTAAGCGATGCATCACCCACGAGACGAGTTGCTCTTTTTTGAACAGAATCCAACAGTTTCAGGGTATGTTTGGGTGCTGCACTCCAAATATGGGAACAGTATTCCAAGGCAGGTCGCATCTGTGCCTTATAGATCATATATGCAGCTGACTGGAAGTAAAATAGCTCCTGGCTCGAAACAGAAAACAAAGTTTTTTGGATGCACTTTTAGCAATTGCATTATCTGCAAATTGTTTCATCCAGGAAGATTCACATTCGGTGGAAGTTAGCAACAATCTCTGTAATCAGCTGTAACCTATTCTACTCTAGATCACAGTTGAAAGAATTAATATATCAGTTGCCTCAGTCTCCGTCCGGCGTTTGGTATTTTCTTTTAACTATGGCGAGATGAGGTTTCTACGTCATAAGAGGGTCCGTTTTCAGATGGTACTATTATTTATGTCCAAATATTGAACATTCCAGTAAATTTTTCGATCGAATTATGTCGTCAATCATTATTTATGTATGAAACGATCATTATAAACATGGTTTGAGTTGAAAGTTCTACCAAGGTGTACACGCCCATTTTCTATTCATTTGACTTCCTAATCCTGTAAGAATAAAAATGAAATTCCATTTTCAAGTCTATAAAAAAATCAATAATAATTGTTTAATGATAAATTTTCCTATATGAATATTTTTATTTAATCACGTATACTCTTAAATAAAAGCAAAAAACCGGAAAATATTCCAAATAATGCGAGCGCTTTCCATTAGCCAACATGAGATAGAAAGAGATAGGTATCCGTAAACACAGCGGGTTGCCTGAACAATATTTCTGCCTCACTCGTCGTTCACAGAGGGTCCCTTCCAGTTGTGAACTGTCTATTGAAAAACAAAAGTTACATGAGCCTTTCTTTCTATTTGCTTTCGTAGGTTTTGGGGCTGTTGAGGAAAGGCGCCGACCCCAACGCGGCCAGTGCGCTTGGCAACCGCGCTTTGCATTTTGCGTGCCGCCTCAGCCACATGGGCATCGTCTTCGATCTGATCACCAACGGCGGGCAAGTGAACGGCCTGTCCAATTGCTTCGACGTGACGCCACTGGCCATCGCCGCGATTGACTCGCCGTCTATGATCATCACACGGTACCTGCTGAGGAAGGGGGCCGTGCTGAGTGGGTCGAAGCAGTTCCCCTTGTTGTTAGGTAAGATTCCGGCAAGGTTATTGCAACATTGCATTTATAAAGTACAGTGAATTCACATATTCAATATAATAAATGAAACCTAATTGCAATATTGCAGCAACTGATGAAACGAAAGTTTTCAGAAGTTTTCTTGATACAAGATATTCAGCAAATATTTCATGTGCAAATTTATCTCATTTCTCTAGATTTTTCGAGATTTTCTTCTTGTTTAAGCACTTCTGTATCTGCTGTATCTTACGTAGGTATCTGTTGAGTTACGAGAACGAAAAGACAGATCATTCTGAAAATTGAGATGCTTTGATAATTGAACATTCTCTATCCGTCTGAAATATTTTCATCGATAGAGTGTTGCCACTTCTATCAGACACAACTAGCAACTTTTTTATTGCATTTTCAGATTCTTCTCGAAGAGCTAATTTCATCAATGCATCACACTTGGGGTCTAGCAGGAATGATTACAGAGATATGGGGTGTTAAAAATCGAGATTTTTCAATTTTAGGATTTTTTTGTCGAAACTATTCATTATCGATTCAGAATTCTGATCACCTTGTATCTGTTCCAATCAAATTCCAGTAGATAGTGAATCAAAAGTTGAGATGTCACCACAACAAGGATTCCGGATCGTTTTCGGTTAGAAAAAGTTCGTTTGAGCGATTTAAGAAAAATGAATATATTTCACCTCCTCGATCAAACTATTATCACATCATTCCATTCATTCAGGCTCTGACTTTTCAGAATGTGCTCTTGCTTGCAACAACGAACGGCGTCTGGCCACTTTGAGGATCCTTATCGACTACGGAATGGATATAAATCAAGTGCATCCCATGGAAAAAAGGAATTGTCTCCATTACGCAGCCATCAGTGGATACACACCTTTGGCTGAATATTTACTATCTGAAGGTAGTTACACATCTGCTTTCGCATCACAATCACAAAACCTCGTATTTTTTCCATGCCAGAAGCTATTTTTGTCGCCGAGTGGCGATCATGTGCGGGTAAAAAGTACCCTGTACAGCTAGCATGATGACATTCAGGTTGCCAGATATGAGTTTGGTTTGTCTCGTATCTGTCAGGGGTTTTTTCTGTTAAAAATCCTGTTAAAGTTGGGGAATCCTTCTTCTAATCTAGCATATTTGTCAATCCTATCATTCCCTATATGGAGTCTTATCCATCGGAAGGAAGTTTTCACTGTTTCCCATACGAAAAGTCTCAGGACGAGGAAGATAAACTTCGACATGGCGCCCAACGTGGGGTAATGTCGAAGTTATGATTAGAATTCCGCAAAACCCCATCCTGCTCTTCAGCACCGAACATCAACTAAAGATGTTGATGTTCGGTGTCTTCAGGCAACACATGGACTGGCCTACATGAAATTATTGCTGAAAATGGTAGAGATACTTCTGGAGTAAGTCGAGATGGACGTATTTTCAAAGTACTTATTGATGACATTATACCTTACTCTACTTTGAATCCTGTTCCGCTAACAGATACTGGTGTAGTAGAACGACAAGGAATGGAAGAGGAACTAGTAGTGGATGGAATTTCTACTTCTGGAAGTGATTCAGAAGCATCGTTTGTCGAAGAGCTTCAGGTGAAGAAGAAATCAGTACGAGGCCTACGCATCAAGCAGCTTTACCAGAATCTAGACAAAGATATTACATAAGTCGTTATTTTCAGGATTAGTACCTGTAGACATTCTTTATTGTTATGGCATTAATTGTTCATTTCCAAATGAATGAACTCCGACTTGCTAGAGGGGGGGGGGGGATGTCACCGAGTTGCGATCATGCTAGTTGGGCGGGCCAGATATGAGTTTGGTTTGTCTCGTATCTGTCAGGGGGTTTTTCTGTTAAGGAGCCGGGAAATCCTTTTTCTAATCTAGCGTATTTGTCAATCCTATCATTCCCTATATGCAGTCTTATCCATCGGAAGGAAGTTTTCACGGTTTTCCATACGAAAAGTCTCAGGACGAGGAAGATAAACTTCGACACTTCACACATCAGCAACTGCTCATACAAAGCACAGATATAGTCCAGTGGCGGCTCATTCTCCTTTCAACAGGGTAGGTTGAATGGGAAATGTGAAAGTGAAATTCTACGAAAAAACTAACTACACTTATAAGGTTCTTCTTCTTAGAAAATCCGTAAGAGCCGCTTGTGTTTGAGAATTTTGTGGAAATCTTATCGTTTGTGAAATTTTTACATTTGCCAAGTATTCCCATCAAGTAACGACAGAGTCAATTCAAAACTCCATAGGAATCTCTGAAAGTATTGTATCGCCTCTCATTTGATATCACAACAAATGATCTGTATGCGATAACAGAAAGAATTTTATTGGATGAATTGTATAAAATAGATTATCTAAAAGTTTGATATGATATCATAAACGAAAATCTGAAATCCAATTTTGTTTTGATAATAAACTCAGAGATTTAGAGTCATCACACGAGACAATTAAACTTATTTCATCTTGATCCTGCTACTTCTATACTTGGCAAAAAAAATTACCCACGCTGCCACTGGCTGAATTCAATAAATTATCACATGAGATGAAAACTTGCAGTCATGTTTCAAAATAAAAATTGCAAAAAAAGATTATTTTAATACTAAATGGATAAAATTGATGCTTTTGCCACCTACTGATTAGTTTCTAGTGATTTGATCGATTTAGCATTTTTAAATTTTTTCATTGTTGTCACCTCATATTATTTTATCTTTTGTTGTTTGTCATCAACTTCCTCATACCAGAATTTCATTTCTGACTGGAAGCTATTTTCTCAATAAACAATAAACAATAAAGGTAGAAGTTCTCTCTAACGGAAAATGATCACATTAGTATATGTCATTCATTTTGATAATGATAATTAAAATTCCTGAGAACAAACAACACATCAAGATGGTCATAATTTTGAGTAACGCGCCATATTCTGCTTGTGTAAACATTTCCTCAGAGGTAGCGTCACCTACTATTCTCTGATTTTGAATGTCATATAGATGTTACTTCCTTAGGTGATATTCGATTTTTTGTTAAAAGCAAGTTATTCCTTATACCAGAGCCTATTCTGTCTGGAAGTTATTTGTTCAATAAATGAATAAATAAATATTTAGAACATGAAAATAGTTGATGACGTTGGGCTTCCTTAAGGTGCAGATTTGGATGCAATAGACGCTACTGGACGTACGCCATTGGAAATAGCACGTGATCACCAGAACAGTGACGTCGTTTGGGCGTTGAAGCATTGGCGTAGAAGAAAAAAAATCAATTTTGCCGACCAAAAAGCTATTATAGAGGTGCTAAGCTCAAGCATTGAGAACATGAAAGGTATAATATAGGGATATTAAACTTAGGCTGATAACGAACATCGTCCGAATAATATTTATCCTCTATCCAATATAGTGCCCTTTGAAATATGAAATGTTGATTATAAAAACAGGCAGCTTTGGGTTTCTAAATTCGATTCATAGGTACATGCTATTGTGTATAATAGATATATTATAGAATGATATACCAATAGATTGCATAACAGATTTTGATTTTTCCAGGAACAACATCCAAAACGAAGAACTGACGATTGAAATGTCATGAAAACTATGACTTCAGTATCATTGTGTAATAATATAGTATAATATTCCTGCAGTAATTCATTAATAACCTCTTAGTACAGAAGCAGTGATGTTATTTATTATTTTATCGTGCGGTGTCTCAAGAATTTCTTGTATACTGAGAGAATCTCGTATTCAGCACAAAAGAGGTGAAATATCTTGTCTGGCATTTTCATATTATTATTTAAATTTTCATTAGAATGCATGAGTATAGTATATCCAATATCAATTGCAGAATATCCCGCACTATGCGGCGTCGGCGTGTCTGAAGATTCCTTTGAAGTGATTGCAGGTGCGGCAGAAGATTCTGCAATTGTTTTTGGATAAACTATAACTCAACTACAAATCCAGTTTTCTTTCATATTATGGTGGTTGTTGTGTTTTCTGCATTTGGTACCTATAAAATGGCAATGGGGCCATCAATGAGACATCAAGTGTTTTCCTGGACCAGCTCACTATTCCCCAGATGTGATGCTTTAATTTTTAATGGTTCTAGGGATACAAGTGTTTTATGGACTACTACGGCGATAAATGTTAACTGTCTCTATTCAGAAAAATCTCGAAAACCGTGATAGATAAATTGACATCAATTAGGTTGATTAACCTCGAAAGACAATTGAACCATGTGAAGAAAATGAGCTTTATATTCAAATTAGTAGAATTAGTGCTGACTTTCAGCACACCCCGAGCAAAAACAGTTTCATCATAGAGATATCGCAGCGGTGTAACAATTGTGACCTGTGATATCGCATTATATGTCGCATAGACGTCACTGCGTTGTCAGAGTGATGCTATTTTGTCCCACTCAAGTTTCATCCATGCGATGCTGCTGCTGCTGCTATAAGTTCTTTGCGATACAATAGCGATATATTTAATGCAATATTATTGCGATATGTTATTTGTGATGGAAAATCGATGTGTTTTGAAACGAACATAAAGTTTCCTACAACATGGTGTGATAATTGGGACACCACTGATTCCTGATGACATCTAATATTGATTATGTGTTGTTGTGACTGGTTGCAAAGATTACCTCAACTCTCCTGTCCATTCCATCGTCTTTCCAGCGGCGCTATCCTTGGTTTCTACGAATCTTCATTAAAAAGAGATCAGTTACTCACATTATGTAGCGAGATGTAAGCAAACCAAGAATAGTTTGATAACAATGTAACGAATATTTTCGAAGTTAGCTTCACTTCGTAGAGTAACGTATATTCATGTATTCGTTTTCATCGAATAAGAATCTAAATAACAAATTTTTGAAAACTTCTCGCATACGGCATACCTATATCATGTTGCCTCATCGCGACATCTCAGAGTTGTCATGTCGCAGATGTGTCTGCCTCTGTATATCGCAGCGATGTAAAATTTGTAATATCGCAGTGTTGTCTCATCGCGTCATCTTAGAGATATAATGTCGCAGATGTGTTTGCTCATGAACATCGCAGCGATGGAACGTTTGTGATATCGCAGTTATCGCACTGTCGCACCTAAACGCGACATCTCAGAGATGTCGTGTCACAGATGTGTTGGCTGGGCCATCAGAACAGTGAATTCGGGTTAATAACAGAGGTGGGGAGCTATGTCTTTATTGGGGTTCACGAAATGACGAAAATTATTCCTTGGAAAAAATACATTTCAGGTTCTATGTATAGCTAGTGGAGGGAAAATATATTTTAGGTAGACTGGCAGCCCAACTCCAAGTTGTAAACCTTCTATGTGTGGCCAACGCGAGCCTACGTAAATAATAACCCTGTATAATATTCCACTTAAGAAAATTGTCCAAATTACACGTCGACCGACGAAAACAAGCACAACAAATTTGTTGTCTATTCAAACGTATCACTATTATATTCCTACCCTTCGAGTGATTTTTTTTCAACTTCATGATGATCCAAATTATGTATCTGAAATCTAGACTAATTGGGGTGTTTACGAGTATGTTTTGGAAGAGATGTTGACATCTTCCCGGCATTATAGGTCATGTGATTAGGAGTTGTCCTTGGTCACGACTACAAATTATCGTAAGATTGTTTGTGATGGAAAAATCATGGGAAGAATATGGAAGGTCACATTGGCGCACTTCTTTATTATTCATAGCATGTCAATGGCACAGCTTCAATGGGCTTATATCACGAAAAGTTTTTATTTCATACTTCGATAGAACTTAGATAAACTAGCTCACCACCGCAAACCATTTCTTGCTGTGAGCTCCCTACGTTTTATAAAAAATTATTGAAATCCCCGATTTTTCGGACCTCTGAAAACGAGGCGATGATGTGACGTCAAAACCCTTATACTGAAACAAGACTATTCCAGACAGAGATGAATGATACATGATTTCTGACAGAGTGAATTAGCGCGAGATCAAAGTTGAAAAAATTAATATATCAGTTGCATCAGTCTCCGTAGATGGGGTTTCTACGTCATAAGAGGGTCCGTTTTCAGATGGTACTATTATTTATGTCCAAAAATAAAACATTTTAGTTAATTTTTCGATCGAATTATGTCGTCAATCATTATTTATGTATAAAAGGATCATTATAAACATGGTTATTTGAGTTAAAAGTTCTACTAAGGTGTACACGCCCATTATAACAGAGGTGGCTGTCTTTTTTGACTAGTGGTTCATAAAATCACGAAAACTACCTTGGTAGTAAAGACACACTTTACGCCTTCAAAAGGAGTAAAAAATTGTAGGTTATACAGTGTGTCCATTTAGTGCGTAATTCTTCGATATATCGAAATCCATTATCACAAGAGAAAAACTTTTGATAACAAATTTCTTCCGTTATTGAAGGTTTCCATTTCAAAAATAGTTTCAACAATACTGGGTGTTTCATGAAAGCGGGACAACTCGGAGACGATTTTTTTTACAGAATGCTTGAATTTACATTCTGAATATTGTAAGATTCAGACGATGTTCATTAGAATTTCTCAAATGGAACACCCTTTCTTTTTCATCAATTCGCCTTTTCATCGATGAAAAAAAATCAGAATCGGCTGCGGCGTTTTCAAGTTATAAGTAATTTCATTATGTTTATCACTATATCTATGTAGGAATATTATTGCTAATATGTACCTATGTGAAACAAACAAACATGCCAAAAGCAACGCCAGCCTTTGAAAGGACAATTTTTCAAAATTTGGGCCACTTTTATTGTCGTTATTCCCACAATCCAAATCCCCATTTGACTTGAAGGAGGTGAACATAATGATACAAACAATATTTCTTTACTACGCGGATTTCGGGAGGGAATTCAGCAAAATTTTAAATTAATTCAAGATATATTTGATTGTGGCGATGTTTGACAGGTCATTACACGAATATAAGTGTATTTCGAGATATTAATTCTTATAGTCTGCAAAAAATCTCTGAAAGTTGCATTTTCGATAAATTTGTCAAAACCCACTCTGTTTCAAATCCTGTAAATGTTCCTATTGCGAAAAAATCTATGAATGGTCAATGAAGAAATTTGATTCCACCGTAGCAACACAATATTCCCACAACACACATAAATGAAAGAACTATGACGTACCTACAAATTACCCCGAAATAGTAGTGAGAATAAGGAAATTATCCATAACTTGACAACGCCGCAACCAATTTTGATTATTTTTTTCAGCGATAAAGAGGCAAAAGATGTCGGAATGAATTTGTGGATAGGAATACAAGGTGTTCCATTTGAAAAATTCCAATGAATGTCATCTGAATCTTGGAAAATTTAAAATGCTTGCATGAGCACTCTGTTGAAGAACATGCCGCAAAATTACTGGATTGGTATACGTGAGACCTTGCTACTACCATATGCCAAAATAATTTTCAATATACCATGCCCAATTCAACATGACTCTTCAATAGTGGTAAAAATAGATTTATCAATTATAACTTGGCAACGCCGCAACCGATTCAAATTTTTTTTACAACGATGTGAAGGTAAACCTCGGCGGAATAAATTCCGAATAAACAATACTGGGTATTCCATTCGAAAAACCTCGTCTCCGAGTTGTCCCGCTTCTATAAAATACCCAGTAGTCTTGAAAATATTTTTGGAATAATCAACTTTAGTAACTAAAAAAGTTGTTCCTCTAAAGTTTTCCTCTATAGGTTATGGCTTTCGAGATATCGAAGAATAGAGCAATGTCAGCTGACGTCACAGTATGGCGCACTCGTGGTTTTCATCAGCTGATCGGGGGACAAACAAAGCTGTGTGTGAATTTTGATTTTAATATTTCTGGCCCATTGGTGATTTTGTTCAACTTGTAGATATTATACAAGAAGAATGAGTACATTTTCTTCCAAAATGAGTATCTATTGAGGTATATTACGAGGTATATTTGGTATATTCGAGCTGAACTCAAGTAAATCCAGTAATTTAAAATTGACAAATAAACCAATTTTAACTCTTCTTTGGACTCATTCACTTCTCTCACAGGATTCATGATGAATGAATTAACAAACATGTCACTAAATAAATACTCCAGGTATTGTATTTTAGTGGTAAATGTGCAAGAAAGTTACATGTACCCTTATGGAAAATGTGTATGCTTGTCCCCCCATCAGCTGTTCAATGGCCGACAATTTTACTTCATATGACGTCACTGACAACGCTCTATTACGCACTAAATGGACACATCGTATAGCTAGTTGATGAAAAAAAAAACGATTATAATAGATAACTATAGCTGATATTAAACCATCGATAGAAGGAAATAACCACTTCCAGAACTTCCATTCAAGCAGAATCAGTACCAGAATGTTCGAAATGCAAGCACTATCTTTCGTTGGGTCCGATTACCTTAGCTTTGAACCAACCTATTTGCGACAGATGTTCCAATAATCTGTGTAATTAACTTCTTAATGAAAAGTCTGATATTTTCATGAAACGCTGCCAAACACTGAAACAATTACACCAGGAGACTATATAAATGAGTTCCTGGGACGCACTTACGTATTTTTAAGCATTCTAAGACACATTCCCTTCCCTAAACATGTCGTCCCAGTAACTTTCTTACAAAAACTATTTGACATGTTTTGAGGAAGGGATATGTCACAAGAGTCTCGAGATCATACCCGTGTGTTCACCGAACACGCTCGATCGTTACCTAAGCGGTGGGGAGACCGAGACGTAAGCACAGTCATGATACAATGAGTCAAGGATTAAATAATCCTTGACAATGAGTGGGCAGGGAGCTTCTCTCATGCTGTCTTTGTTTTTGTAGTACGGGGTGGGCCACCAACAGTTTTCTTGATCACATTTCAACATTTTTTTTTTCGAATAAATAAGAAACATTTGATAGGCATCAAGTGATCTACTGCGACCTATCAGATAATGAAAGCGATGATTTGATTTGCAATAATTCGCTATGTCACGACGAGTCCTACATGTAAATAGCGAACCATACTCATCGAAAATCATGAAACTATATGAACATATTATATGCTTATGTTTTGTTGGCGAGGACGTTTTATTAAAATTATTTTCGATAATGTTCATCTGCTTCACTAGAAATTATTATTAGTAGTTATGTAGTACTTATATAGTAGTATAGTAGTAGCAGCTTTGTTATTCAAAATGGAACACCTTATATTTTATGACATTTTTCGATTCTTCTAATTGAGCTATGATTCTCGTTGATCAAGCTCAAGGTATACCTATACGTAGAATGTGAAAAATCGAGATTTTTTTTGTATCGGAACTATACAATACCTATATTGATTTGTCAAAATGGCTTACATGTGTCCCTTTCCTAACATTCTATTTACTATCTACTGATGCCATTTAATTGAAACAAATACAGGGTGGATCAGATTTCAGAATTATATAAAAGAAGTACTAGTATGCCTACTAAAAAAATATATATATTTGAAATAAACAAAACAAAAATATCACATAAAAAAACACACTCTAATATTCAAAATAAAATAAAATTCAATCCCACTGGATGTATTAAAAAATATAAACAGTGTGCATGTCACTTCTATAATGGAATATCAACCCGTATATCTAAAGTAACTGTTCAATTTTAAGGAGCGATAGATATATATATACCAACTATGACCTATGACCAAAGTGAGGTAATCTTCAGTGAAAAACGCTGCTCTGGTCATGGACCCACCAACATTTCCGGAAAATGATATTAGGAGGCAAGATAGGTTGAAAATCACTTCGGATTCGAAATCAGGACGTAACCCTGTACCTCGAAAACGAAGCAAGTTTAGGACACATGTTTATATGACCTTTATTCATCATATTATATCACAAGGAATCATCCCTTGAATAATTTCGGTGTTATTTAGATACACCCTGTATAGATCATTCTTCATCCCAATATATAGTTATTCAACATTTTTCCAATAGCGAAGTTCAGCAAATACCGATGGCGAGAGCACTATGTTTATTGATTTGATGTCTACCTATAATACTTATAATTATGTAAAACAAGAAGGCACAACTACTAGTGTTCCGTTTCGAGGTACATTAAATTGACAAATTTGACTCCAAAATAATTCAGGCACGCGCCAATATTCATAACGTAGTTACTGCTGCCCGTTTCCCGTTTACGTTTCCCCACCGCTTAGGGTACGATCGGGCGTGTTCGGTGAACACACGGGTATGATCTCGAGACTCTAGTGGATATGTCTTCTTATTTATAGCCTTTTGGCGTAATAGTTATTGTTTCAGTGGTCGGCAGCATTTCATGTAAAGACCAGACCTTTCATGAAACGGCTGAACAGCGACATATATAAGAAGTTTCTGGATGTCCTGCCTTGGATTGTGACAAAAAAATACTGAGAAATGACGTTATGAAGCTATAACTCGACTCATCCAAACCTTATTTGATCAAAGAGCGAGTTTGATGTAGAGGTTGAAAATCGATGCATAATTTTTTTTATTTGGGAAACTAGAGTTATTATTGTGAAGATCAGCTTTCTGGATAGGTAACTGTTTTTTCAGCCTCCTCAGCTGTGAAGATTATCAGAATGTGAAATATAGGATCACTATCGGAAGCGAAAAACAAGTACATAAAAACCATCAAGATCGAGTCCAAGATTTTTACGATAATTCATAAAGATTCAGAATATTATATCATTACAGAATAAGTTAGAGAATAAGATAGACAATAAGGTACACCCTGTTACATTTACAGTTACAATTAAAAATTACAGTTAACAATTTACAATCAGAGGTACCTCCACTCAATATTCTTAATGATAACAACTCACTAGGTACCTATCATATTATAATTATAATCTACAACGTGTTCAATCTGTACTTCACCGGCGTATGAGAATTGGTCCAAAATCATTGATAAAATTTATAATGAATATCTTATCAAAAAATTGATTAAATGAGATACCCTGATGTGAATATTTGATAAATAAGAGAGTTGATAATGAACTACGATAATTATAACTGTGAAATAAACAGTAACTTATGTACTTCACCAGGGTAACAAAAACCATTCTATGGAATTATTGATAAGCACTAATCTTATTGATTATAAATATATCTTCGAAACAATGGAATCCAATTAGTTATTGTATTATTGATTGTAGTGAATTAAGTAGCTATAGAAACTTCTCAATATTGAAATTTGTTTCTCCACAACAAGGTACGTATCAAGCTTATTATTCTCATATTAAAACAAATAATATTATGAAACGAGGATCAAGAAGATAATTTTCTCTATCAAATTGAGTTGAGTACCTTCAAGTTTGATGAAAAAAAATATTGAATTTACCTACTCTGAAATCAAAAACCTATACTAGAAATTGAATAATACAATCATATGTTCAGATAGGAATATTTGAATAAGATCATTAACTTTAAATATTCATCAATTGAAACCAATGATTAAGTTTTTGTGGAAAGTTTTTTCTTTATTATTATACTCGAAAAAGTAAAATGGTCTTCATCAGGTGCTTATTTATACCTGCTTCGAGACATGCTTATACAGGGTGCAAACTTTAACTGGAATAAATTCGTTAATGGGGACGTATATACGTCCATGGTAGTCACCTACATTTGGCGAGCATTATGAAGAATTCAACCCTTCAGGGGTAGCAGGAATCTACCCAAATATGCTTTTTTTCAAATTCAAGCCTATGGCCAGCGACTCCTCATTGGAAAGCTGGTTGAAAGAGAAATCCAGCGTACTGATCATATATCAGTTTGCAGTACGTTTGGAGGTCGCATGAAATCAAAATATAATTTCGAAGTTCTATATATTTTCAACGTACTTTGTCCTGTGACTTCAATTTGAAAGAAAAAAAAAAAAAAAAGATTACATTAACATGGGTCCGCAAACGAAACGCTAAACACTATTATGTTTTTTAACGATATCTCAGGAACCATTCGAGATACAGGACTCAGCTATTGTATTTTAGGTAGACCAGAAGGCGAACTATCACAAATAATTATTTTCGAATGTTTAGTTTGAAGAAAAATCACAGTTTCGCATTGACTATAAAAAAGATACATAAACTGCCAATGTTTGAGAACGAAAATAAAAGTTTGTTATAGTTCTCAGCTTTTGAGCTATCCGAAAGTACGAAAACGTGAAATGAAAAATATAGGTCAGTATATAAAAAAACTGAGTTGATTATTTATTTTCTTGAAAGATGAAAGGTCAGTTTTCAAATTTGAAAACGCCAACTTGAAGTGGCATTTATTTCGATTAATTTCTTCAAACAACTTTGAGAAGTGGAAGATGTTTTGGGATTTTTTCTTATATTATACCGGAAATTATTCGAAATTTTGCAACTTTAGAAATGACATTTTGAATTCCTGATGATGCACAAAATCCAGCCACCCTGTACACATCTCATCCTCAATGTTAGCAGATGTTAGCTACTCTTTGAGCCCTAATTCATTCAACGGTTTTTTGCCTCTAATTCCTATGAAATTATATTTATTTACAGAATATGGCTACTAACAAAGCTGCGAGGATATTCCTCGACAAGGATCACATTGAAAAATGCTCGAATTGCAGTGAATACCTATCTGTAGGACCAATTGTTTTGGTGAAAAACAAACCTGTTTGCGCTAGATGCCCACAAGGCAAAGGATCTTCAGCTACTTTTTACGAAAAACTAGCTGAGTACATGTTTTTTCCTTGTAGAAATGACATTTACGGCTGTGATGCTATGTTGATTTGGGGACATGTCTCACAGCATGAAAATATTTGCAAGTTTTATGCGATGATATGCCCTGCGATAAGCTGCAGAGAAAAATTTGTGAGAAAACATTTGATCCAACATTTTACTTTGAAACATAAAGAGCTGCTGATGAACAATAATAAATTCAGAATTCCTGACCAAAAGGGAGATAAAGATGAATACATAAATAAATTGTTCATTTGGAAAAACAGACCCTTTATTTTGAAAATTGACTTTTCACCACCCTGCTGTTTCTTCAGTATTTCGGGGTTCGATGAATTCATGAACAAAAACTTGCAATACAATGTATCATTAGGAAATAAGGAGAAACTGAAGACTACGTTTATAGAAGGCTTTTCTGTATCAGATTACACAATCAAACACCATGATCATTCAACTATGATTAAACTTGACATGACTATGATTCGAAAAAAAATGTATTCGAAAAAATTTATTTGTATTTTCAACATCGTACATAGAGCATTTACGGAGAATATACTAAACAATAGTCTCTTGGCTGGACTGGAATGTCCTATATGTATGGAATATATGAGACCGCCAATATTCATGTGTTCTTCTGGCCACGTTGTGTGTGATACTTGCAATCGTAAACTTGTTGTTTGTCCAACTTGTCAGATTGTGTTGAATGATAACAGAAATTTCGCTTTGGAAAAACTCACAGAACACATCAGTTATCCTTGTAAATATTTAGATGAAGGCTGCTCTACAATTGGACAACTCTCAGACATACGTTCACATGAAGCAATTTGTTCCATTGGAGCTACCGAAGATACAATTTGTCACATAAGCTATTTGGAACCTTGTGATTGGAGGGGACCTTCTTCAGAACAGATATCTCATATTCATTCGATGCACTCAAATGTCTTCATTGATCTAAGCAATCCTATTGAGCTAGATTTGGAATTATTCAAAATAATGAGTGTATTTTTCGAAAGCAACGGCCAAATTTTCAAGCTGAATGTTTCGAACGAGAACACTTCGCTACGTATATGTGTGAAGTCAATTCTGAATTCTGGAAATCCGAAGGAGAAATATCGATACCATATTGACTTTGAAGACCTCAATCAAAACAAGATGATTCTGAATTTCAACAGAGATTGCAAATCTGCTCACGCCTATGATCAAAGTTTTATAGATTATCTAGTCATTAATCATAATTTATATAGGCCATTTGTGAAAGAAAATATAATAAGCTTGAGAATTCATATTATCCTCATATAAACTGGTCAACAATTTTGCCCCTATTATTTTGAACAATTGAAGTCATGTTATCAATAGTCATACGATACAAATAAGTATACCTAATAATGGCAAGAGAGCAATACGAGGAATTATGTGAAAAAACTTTTGATATGACATATAGCGGAATCTCCAGACAATATCATTCTCAATCAACATAAAATTCAATTTCCTACAGGAATTAAATGTTTCTTGATAAAACTTATAACACAAATATGTTTCACGCAAGTTTTTCAATTCAAAAGTGAGGTACTCATATAAACTGTAATTTGAGTTATTTCACTTCAGCTCATTGCACATATACAGGGTTATGATAAAGTAATGCACAAAATTCATAAAACGTACAACGATCACTTTTGAAGAAAATGCAAAAACACGTCAAACTGTTTTTTTTTATTCCGCATCTTTTGACACAAGTTACAAAAATAACACATCAAAGTTGTCAAAGTTATGACGTCATCAACACATTTTTTAAATGGGAAGCTAAGATTTTTATTACATTATGTGATAGAGCTTGTGTTTTTACACCAGGGAAAAATTGTTGCAAGCTCTATCACATAATGTAATAAAAATCTTAGCTTCCCATTAAAAAAATTTGTTGATGACGTCATAACTTTGACAACTTTGACGTGTTATTTTTGTAACTTATGTCAAAAGATGCGGAATAAAAAAAACAGTCGTTGTTTCAGTAAAAAATTCTTCGATCATTCACTAAGACATATAAAACTAAATATAAGTCCAACTATTGAAGACATTTTTCATGTTATCTGGAAATCTATCCAATAATGATTATTTTGAGCAGTTGCTTTGATAGTGAAGCAGGTTAGGAATACCTAAACTTCGGATCGTCACTTTTATATATTGTTTTTTTAGCCATATTTCTCATTTAATAACGTCTACTGGAATATGGTATAGTGTATATGTTAACTCTAACTGGCTTGTGTATATTAGCAATGTGGGAATCTGTTATATGTATGTTCATGATATGTAATTTGAGTGTAATAAATTATTATTATCATTATTAATCGCTTTGGTTATTCACAGTGAATGAGTTTTACTATTCCTTCACTTGTATCTGATGAGGTGCAATACTACTGAAAACGCATGATATTGTCGCAACTCAGATGGACCTTCACCACGTGTCGCAACTCAAACATCGCTTTTACTTCGATGTATCAACTAAAGAGAGGATTTTCAGTATTTCATCACCCAACCACATACATTCCGAAATAATGAGAATTGTTTTCCAAAAGTACAACAAACAATTCATTCAATCACGAAAACATAAAAATGTGCCAAAAAGAACAAACATGAAACGAGCGAACAACAGAAACAAGATGATGGTTCTTGGTACTTACCACCCTGTATCTCAAAATTTAGGACGTTTATTAGGTAATACGTTCATATAAAACTCTCTTTTTAGAATGGAACCATAAATCGCCCAAGATCAAAATTCCAGAAAATTCTCAATATTTCCAAATTGGGCATGAAAAGTAATATACATGTACAAAATTTCGTTATCTTAACACAGTGGGCTTCGGAAATATTTACAAAAAACTATCATCTCGGAGGGAATTTTAGTTTTGGAGTGATTCTTTCCTCTGTTCTACTCAGATGGCGTTACTTTCATTTTGTCGATGAAAGATGCCTCGGGGTGAATATAATGCCGACTTGATATTTGTTTAGGTAGGCTTCGCTGAGTCGGCGGTCTTAGTATTGCTGGCTGGAGACTATACTGCACTGATGAGAGTCAAAGAGCTCGAAACCGGTCTGTGGTTGTCTAGCGGCATGGCTAAATCGAAATCAATAGGCATTCAGGAAAAAATCACTTGTATCAGTATTCGTTTATACGAGTCGATGCATAGATTTCGGGAGGATGTAATTCAATGTCCTGCGTGGCATTAACCTGGGAAGTAGTTGTTTTTCTCTCGAAATCTACCAGTGTTGTTCATTTTATGAACATTGTGTGGAAATGACTGAGCTTTTTGTATTTATTTACCATTTCATGCTGTCATCAAGTTCTGTACTTGTTCTGTTTAGGCTTTGTTACTTAGTTACCGGTGATAATAGTGAGGGGGAATTTATGGACGCATTGTATAGGGTATAAACAAAGTACCCATTCCAAGGAAAACTTTCATTGATTTTATCGATGGAAATGAAACTGGGATGAAGAACTTATCTTGTGGTTTTTTGCCTTATTATTTTACTCGAAATAGGTTCTCAAGGTACTTACTTGTACGTAGTTTTCCCCCAAAATTTTGTATTCCGTTTTCCATTTAACATTCTGATATTATGATTGATATAAATTATCTATCGATAAAACTGATAAATCGCATTATTGTGTCTCAGGTATATATTCACTAAACTTTATATTTCCTATGTATCTGTGGCCTGTGACTTGATTCAACCAGTACATTTGATTTTCGGTAAGAATATATTCATTTGAAAATTCAAGAAAATTCATGAACCGATTTTATTGATTTGGGTCATGTTTGAAAAAAACTTGAGCAAGACAGTGCTTCTCCATAACTTTCACATTTGTTCAAAATGGCGAATTCATTTAAAATGGTCGAATTTTGAAACTTGCTGGAGCATTTTTGAATCGCTCTGTATTTTTTACGTGTCAGCTTTCTGGAAACTTGGACTTCTCTAATCAGAACGAAAACTTGAACATGCGAATCCGTCAGCTGATTATAATGACTAGAGAAATACAGGTATTATTGATACATACATTACGGGTAATTTTTTTTCTTAATTTTTCAAAATCAAGTTGACGTATGACCAACAACGCCTGTTGTATTGTTGATTTTTGCATTTCGAGATTATTAACAATTTTTTATTTTCTTTTATTCGCTTATGACGGAGAATTTAGGGATGCGAAAGGTTTTTTGCTTCAAATTTCAATGTAATTATATTTATTCACAGATGGCTAACAAAGGTGCAAGAATATTCCTGGACAAGAATCACATTGACAAATGTTCGAATTGCAATGAGTACCTATCTGTAGGACCAATTGTTTTGGTGAAAAACAAACCTGTTTGCGCTAGATGCCCACAAGGCAAAGGATCTTCAGCTACTTTTTACGAAAAACTAGCTGAGTACATGTTTTTCCCCTGTAAAAATGACATTTACGGCTGTGATGCTATGTTAATTTGGGGACGTGTCTCACAGCATGAAAATATTTGCAAGTTTGATCCGCTGATATGCCCTGCGATGAGCTGCGAAGAAAAATTTGTGAGAAAAGATTTGGTTCAACATTTCACTTTGAAACATAAAGAGCTGCTGATGATCAATAATCAATTCAGAATTCCAGGCCAAAAGGATGAAGATAAATACATAAATAAATTGTTCATTTGGAAAAACAGACCCTTTATTTTGAAAATTGACTTCACACCACCTTGCTGCTTTTTTGATATTCTGGGGTTCAATGAATTCGCATACAGGAATTTGGAATACAATATATTAATAGAAGATGAAGAGAAACAAAAGGGTGTGTTCATAAACGGTATAACTCTATCAGATTACGGAATGAAACACCATGATGCTTTAACTATGATCCAACTTGACCTGACTGTGATAGAAAAACAATTGGGTTCAAAAAAATTTATTTGTACTTTCAACATCGAACATATAGCATTATCGAAGAATGCACTGAACAATAGTCTCTTGGCTGAACTGGAATGTCCTATATGTATGGAATATATGAGACCACCAATATTCATGTGTTCTTCTGGCCACGTTGTGTGTGATACTTGCAATGGGAAACTTGTTGTTTGTCCAACTTGTCAGATTGTGATGAATGATAACAGAAATTTCGCTCTGGAAAAATTCACAGAACACATCAGTTATCCTTGTAAATATTTAGATGAAGGCTGCTCTACAATTGGACAACTCTCAGACATACGTTCCCATGAAGCAATTTGTTCCATTGGAGCTACCGAAGATACACTTTGTCACATAAGCTATTTAGAGCCTTGTGAATGGAGGGGACCTTCTTCAGAACAGATAACTCATATTCATTCGAAGCATTCAAATGTCTTCATAGATCTAAGCAATCTTATTGAGCTACATTTGGAAAAAATCAAAATGATGAGTGTATTTTTTGAAAGCAACAGCCAAATTTTCAAGCTGAAGGTTTCTAACGAGAGTACTTCTCTACGTATATGTGTGAAGTCAATTCTGAATTCTGGCAAACCAAAGCAGAAATATCGATACTATATTGACTTTGAAGACCTCAATCAAAACAATAGGATTTTGAATTTGAACAAAGATTGCATATCTGCTCAAGCCAATGATGAAAGTTTCATTAATTCTCTAGTCATTGATCATCATCTATATAGGCCATTTGTGAAAGATGATTCAATAAGCTTGAGAATTCATATTATCCTTATATAAACTGCTCAACAATTGTGCCTCTATATTTTAATCTATTAAATTCATATTATCAATATTAATTTCATTCATTCAACTTAAGAGTACTGGACAGTGACAAATATACCTAATAAGTAATGGCAGAAGATCAATACGAGGATTTATATAAAAAAAACTAATGGTAAAATTGAGATGTTGACATAGAGCGGTCAAAAATCCTAATAAAACTAAAGCAGTATACTTTTCAAAACGAGACGTGGCCCTGAAACTGCAGAAAATATCATTCTCAATCAATATAAAATTCAATTTCCAACAGGAATTAACTGTTTCTATGTGTTTGTTGATGAAACCTAACACAAATTTAAACATTGTTAGAACCATTTACTACGCAAGCTCTTATTCAAGGACAGAAAGCAGTGAAGTCATAAATATTTTCACAATTCAAAAGTGAGCTTTTCGTATAGTTAATAAAACATTTATCACTATTCCAGCACTATACACATACAGGGCTTTCATTTCAAAACTTAACGCACCCTACATATTTTCTGATCTCCGGTGATAATTTTCAGGATAAAGAGGTCTTTTCAGATATCGCGTGGGATGGAAATTACAAGTATCTATTGGATGCTATGTAAATCCCCTCCAGCTTCAGACACCCTTATTTTAATATTCCAAATGGCACCCCCACCTCGAGATACAGAAAATTCAAAATCTCTAGTAATTACCAAATCAACCATCACGTGAAAATGGAACTATTTCGTGTATACATATCAGAGATTACACGTCGAATATAATATCGTACTATTGAGTATTCGTGAAGTCGATGACCTTTCATTTTTCTATAGATTTTCACGGAAAATGTTCCTCAGAAATCTGTGCTATCATTTCATCACTATCAATACCAGTCAGACGAATTCGTCAAGCCCAATCAGCGCATTCATCCGTTCAAGTCATTTGTTCCTAAACCATAGAATGACTGGCAAGATCTCCAAATTTGATACCTCTTGATCAATTTTTGTGGAGTCACATGGAAACAATGGTTACTGAAATTGTGCAAGGAAACATTGATGGACTGAAACTAGAAACATATATATTAAATTCCAATATTAGGTTTATAGGTTTTATATGTAAAGGTTGAATTGTTCCAGTATTGAATTCTTGAATCTTTGAAAATGAATGAAAATATTCAACTAGTGAAGAAGCCGATACTTAACTTTCTGTGTAATCTGGAATCCTATTCATGAATGATTATTTTGAGCAATACCTTCGGCAGATGCATAAGTCAGTTTAGAAATGACCAATGACATATAGACCTTCCTTATAGAATCCACTGAGAAGTCAGAGCAATTACGAATAATCATTTCTAAAATGTTTGATGATTCCACTGGAATGGTGTTTATGTGATTCACAAATCTCATTTGTTCATCAAAAGTGACCCCTATACATATACAGTAGCAAGCCTCTTATAACTATGATGCATTGTATGTATTTTTCCCCTTATTTCTAGTTAAATAACCTCTTCTGTATGTAAACTGTGACTGGCTTTTTTATATAACCCATGTATTTGTTATGTTTGTAATATGTTATTCGAGTGCAATAAATTATTATTATCATTATTAATCGCTTTGGTTATTCAATGGTGTCAGGATATACCAGTGAATGTCAACATTCACCAAGTTGCTTGGCGTATGTCCGATATATTCATCAAATATCATTATTTCTAACTTCCACCGGCGAAAGTCAACATTCATCATATACTCATGGTGTATGTGAAGAACTTTTTACAAAAAGAAAACAAAATAAAACTATATAGGTTAACATTTATTTTGATCAAATCATGAAAGAAGTTTTCAAATGAACATAAAGAAGTTGTTGAACTTGAGACAAACACAACAAACATAATATTGATATAAAAATAAAATGCATTTCATTTCTTGAACTAAAATGTAAAAAACAAAGTAAATGTATGGCAACCTCATTCATTGCAACAACTTAACCTACCATGACACTTTGAATTAGACAAAAGGCTCTTGTTTCTACTGGTACATTTACACGTGGAACACTTCTTTTTGCAGTTACAGCGTGCTTCTCTTACCGACATTTCTTGAGCTGAAGTCTTATCCATGGAAATTCATTTTTCATTGAAAAGTTGCTTCAAGATGCCATTTTTGTTTGCTATCAACTGCAGTAGCCATCGAGTACAATTAATAATACCACTATCAATCAAGCCTTGTGTAAGACTGGCGACAATAAGCCTGTTAGGAACCGTCGTTTCCGACATCGACCAAAGTTTATAATTATGTGTTTGTCGATATATATACCGGTGAAGGACCGAATCTTTCACCAAATACATATTTGGTGTGTGTCGACATTAATCGGTGTATGTCAACAACCACTAATTTCGGTCTTTCACGGTAACATATACATCGATTCTTGACTTACCTAGTTGATTGAGAATTATACACGTGATCCTGGGTTCACGTTATCACGTTGAAGTTCGCTTTTCGTTGATCGGAACACGTTTTCGGTAAATCTTCGAAATACTCATGTAATGATACGTATTATATCTCTTTGCTGATAATACCATCAATCGCAAGTTTTTGGGATGCTTGCTTTGAGAAAGTATCGTTCAATGGTTCAATATACAAGAATATAACAGGGTGGGGCATTAGCTAGAAACTTGATTCAAAAACGAATGTCAATGAGACAACAAGGTCCGTAACTAGAAATTATTGCCGCATAGACAGGGGGCATCGGAAAAAATCTAGAGGGTCTGGATCACTTTTTTTAAATGGAACGCCCTATATTTTACCATTCCTGTGACCTCCATCCACTTCTAAAATATTATTGAAAATTTCTCAATCATTTCAAAGTAATTAATTTTTTTGTCGAAATAATGTTATCTGCAGATCCATACATGAAAAATCATTGTAATCACATTTATGAAGTTTGAGAGATAATAATCATGATGATATCATTAGATGAAAAGATTTCTGTAATATTTTCATTTCCTCAAATTATACAGGATGGCTAAAAATAATTTTTTAATTCGTAACTTCTGGAAGTGATTTTTCTCGAGTTTTTCAAATGGAACACCACATACATTTTTAGGTCATTTGGTGTAAAATCAAAACACGAACATCTTTTATCTCATCATCCATATTGATATTCGTAATCATTTTTGAATAATTGAACTTCGAAAATTGTAGGTAGGCCATTTTCATCGATACACTATCTCATCTGTTATTGAAACATCGAAAGTCCAATAAATAATTTAGTAGACTTATCTTTCCATTGAAAGAATCAGAATCAAAGCAAATAGAAATAGTTCATATGCTAGTTATTCACAAAGTGAAAAAGAACAGAATTCCCATTTTGCATAATTGTAAATTACTATCCAGGTTTTGTTTTTAATGTTCTATGAATTTATGGCATATTTTGAAAATGGAAATTCTTTCTCATTTTACTTTGTAAATTACTAGCATATGAACTATTTCCGATGTTTGCTTTAATTCGGGTTCGAATTCTTTAAATAAGAACACTGGTTTATTCTGATTTATTGACTGGACTTTTGATGTTTTAATAACAGATAAGAACGTGTATCGACGAAACTGGCCAACCTGGAATTCCGGTGAAACCGGAAGAGACCGGAAAGTGAAAAATATGTGAAAACTTTCCTCTTCACATACCATTTACTCATACCAAATCTCATTTTCATACACCTGATGGTCTAGAAGTTATGACTTGTCTAATAGATTCGTTGACACCCGGTATAGGGCATTCCATTTAAAAAACGTGATCCTGACCCTCTAGATTTTTTACCATGACCCCTATATAGGCGGCAATAGTTTCTAGTGAGATGTTTATAAGTTTCTAGTTACGGACCTTGTTGTCTCATTGACATTCGTTTTTGAATCAAATTTCTAGCTGTCATAGAACTCGAGCAATCGATCTCCGACGCACTAATGCCCCACCATGTATACGTAGGTACTTTCAATTATTCACTTTCGTCCTTGAGAGAATGTTTCCAACTTTGAAGTATTGATATTGATACGAAAGTCACCGAAACAAAATTAGTCTCTATGATTCATTGAAGATTTGAAAGATATACAGTGCTCGAGACAGTGCATGAGTTTTACATTCATTAATATGTATCTGCCTTGATTATTTATGGTATCTGATAAGGTGCAGCTACGCCATTATTTTGGTTTTTGACGGATTGCACACTGATTTGTTTCATTATATGATCTCCATACGAGACCACTTTATCTCATCATATTTGCAGTGGCGTAACTTCATATTTTGGCCCCCCTGCCATATTCATTTAGGGCCCCCAGGGAAAGAAAAATAACGATGAGAGAGTTCAAAGAAATAGCAACATGCAAATGGAGAATAACGTTTGAAAATAGGAAATATAACTCACATCGAAACAACGAAGAGCAAACAAAACAATAGCTATTTATATATCAAGGGAGCAAAGGTATTCATTTGCTCCCGCGTGTGAATATTGATCACACATGTCCTTAAATGCATACAAAAAAATCTAGCTGAGGAATCGACTACAATTTTGCAGTTAGCAAGTCGTGGTACTTTTGAATGCGATCGAATTACATTGCACCTCGACAATAACTTTACCTCTTCAATAGTACACGTAATCTTTGAAATGTTCAGACATCGGGGAATGAAAATAACCGAAAATAAACGTTATATTTAACTGATCTGATCAGTGAGATCGGACAGTTTAGATATGATATTATGTTGATTTTAACTAGCTATTTAGGTAGATATCGACGCCAATTTATATTCAATTCACCGTATTCTCCAGGTGAAATTATTGTTGAGTTTATTACTGCATCCCTAGTACTATCAACTGAATTAGATGGTTTGATGTACTGCATTCAGAAGTGTTTAATTACTAGGAAATTATCATTTATGAATTGGGGTGATAACATTAAAAATACCACATTCTCAGTGAATTTCCATGCGAATTGCAATGCATAATTTCACTGTTTCTTTGGTGTGAAAATGATCCACCTAAATACACTTCGTATTATTGTATGAATAACAAAATCCGATGATGTCAATAACAATATTTTTGTAGACACTATCGTCGAATATTCAGTTTATAGTTAAGTAAGAGATGGTTGAGAATAGGAGCATAGAATGTTTCTATAACAAATTTTCTCTCAGTGCCAATTCGAGTTTAAAATTATTGTGGGCTATGCCATCTCTATATGGAAAATTATTTGATAGATTACCCATGATTATTTTCAAGTCTTCATCAAACTTCAATAGCAGGTATGTTTATATTTTCGGAGGTATGATTCTCATGATGATGTAACAAGTAAAATATCAATCTTTTATACATTTCAGAGATTGCATGATAACTTCTTCAAATCTTGTCCCTTGCTACGTTGGATATATATCGAAGACTGGAACCTTTGGCACGATAATACACTACACTGTTTCACCACTAACACAGCCGTCTAGTTGAAGAGGGCTGTGCCACTAACCAAACCGATGATTCAAACGCCTCGACGCGTGTTTCGCTAACCATGTTAAAACTGTTTTAATCTTCTCTTGAACCCGTTGGGTTGAGGCTTCGCACCCCTTTGTGGTCACTTGGGAGAACTGCAGAACATCTCTTTCCAAAGACTCGTTCATCCAACGAACAGCGAGGCTCTGGAACACATTGCCAAGAGAGGTGTGTTCCCCGAGGCATATATATAACCTCCAGAAGTTTAAGAAGAACACCAATTCCTACCTCATTTCCCTTGGTTCTCACGATGTTCTCTGAACATAACAGGATATCCCTTTTCGTGGGAACCAGAACATGAAAAAAACTTGAACAAAGTATGGGTAGGTATAGAAATATTGAAACTCGACAATTTAGTTTTGAGAAATTAAGATAATGCAATATGTGATACTTAGGTCCATTTTTTGTACGAATCTGCATAAGACACAATATGCTATCCTTATATATTGCTACGTATATATTATTGGTATAGGTATAATAATACGAAAAATATGTGATAAAAGGAAAAGCATAATTCTTGACACAGATCAGAGAAAAAAAACACTCATCCATAAAATTTATACGATATTCTATCCACCATCATTTTCCTCTGCTGTGAAAGCAGAGAAATGAATTTATTCAATATTTCATCAGGTTTACCTAGACACATCAGTCACTTGGACTTGTATCCTTGAAATAATGATGTTTATAGATGCCATGGAGAGATGAACATAAGTAATATGCCATACAAACACAGTTATTCCCAAGGATGCCATCAAGAATAGTTTACTACCATTCTGTGCTCTCTTATAATGAATATTATGTACTATACGTAATCATGCACAGCATGATGGGGATCACGGAAAACGCAGGTGATACGATTTCGGTTTAATAAGAAAAAAGCTGCGCATTAAAATGGTCATTCCAACAGCCTTAGAAACATTTCAGTATTATTAATAGGTAGTTATTCAGTTATACCAAATATTTCCCTCCCATACAAAATGTCCCCTAAGAGCAATGCAATTATCGAAAACCTACAGCGGTAATTGCACTGCAGAGAGTAAACAATACAAGTAAATGTCAGATGAACTTCAAAAAGTGATAAAAATGTTAGTGTATAATCTATCTAGGATAGTATGAATGAAAGTGAACCAAAAAATACCAAATCCAACATACAGAATTCCTTACTTCGCGAAATATTCCAATGATTATGCACTCGTGCAATTATAGTCAAAAATTGGAATTTCGGAATTCCTGTTCTCCTTTTTTTCTGAGAAACTTTTCTGAAGCAACGTTTGATGAATTTTAACGTGGTATGTTGAATTCTCTATGCGATGTTTCGTATTCGTGAAAGTATCACCAACTTATTTTTTTTCAATGCGGTCTTGATTCTAAGAGCTTTGTTTATTCTGAAAACGACCATGTAACGAAAATCATTCAATTTTACATCAGGAAGTTATTCTAGGTAAAACTCGATAACCGTATTCGGAATATTTAAAATGGTATGAGGTACTTGATTACTAATGTAACAAAGAATCACAAAAAAATTGAGATTGAAAATATATAAATGGCATCAATTCCAATGAGATGAAAATGAATGGATGAACTTTTTCGTCTTCACGAACTGCAGTTCAAAGATCTCTGTCAAAGAAGGAATAATGTTATCATTTCACGAAGCAATTAATTCGTGTAATTATATCTCAAAGGGA